ATTGAAAGATGTTGTTTTAGTATTGAAAATCTTTATGTTGACCTAAAAATTTGCTTTTATTTCTAATTATAAAATTTAAATCTTAAAAAATAATGTGGATGATCTATGAAAACTTTAAAATATTAAAAATTGACGGTTGAGATAATGCATTATAAGATGTACTATTTTCAAGACTTGAAATCTATTTTTTTAGGTTCATATACTTCGAGGTCGAGGTGATCAGATCTTAAGGTTTTTTAGAAAAGGGAATAGATGGATTAGAGGAGTTTGGAAGGAGAGGCAATCAAAGTAAATTTGTAAATTTGTACTTCATACCCTTTTCTATTTACCACCTATAGGATTTTCATGGGTGTGAATAATAGAAAATTCCATACATACCCTTCTTCTCTGACCCAACCTGACCTAGCAAGTAAGATTTGAGTCCAATTGACTGTGCCCAGCTGGATCAAGGTCCGGCTAGACCGGAACCATTTACACCCTTAAATTTGGGGTGTCCTAATATAGTCGCGAGAATATGGAGCCCAGGTTCAAAGTTTTGATGACTTCCCAAGGCAAACTAACTAAAGGACCTATATTTTATGAGTCCATGAAGTCATCTCTAAAAAATCTATTTTTGATACGGATTTTTTGACCTAATTTTTAAGGACATGTAATATTCAATTGGAGATCATGAATATAAATAAATAAATAAATTTTAAAAGTAAAAATAATAATTCTATCAAAAAAATATTTGGATTGTTCGTTTCAATTATTTTTAAATGGACCATTTATTGGAATCCATATTTAAGATGATGCATCGGGAACCGCAAATGTAGATATGCAGTCCACGCCGCATCAAACAATATTCCTAACTAAATTTTTATTATGATTCTCAACACAACTTGACAAAGAAATAAATTTCTAAATTTCCACTATGATTCTCAAGACAAAATGATAAAAACACAAATGCATAAATCAACTTTTATTCTCATCAATCTTTGTAGCCTACAACGGAAAGGAGCATGTTTGAGGATTCTAGTGGTCCTAAATGGATGAAAGTAAGAACCCTTTTATGCATTCACACTGTAACATGAAAAGTTTCAATTTAAGTAACTTTCAACCGTTGATTTGGAATTCTTTTACCAAATATTGATCGAGCGACCCGACAAGTAATCTGAATAGTGTTAAGATTCTCAAGTGGGGTCAATGAAAGTAAAAGGGAGGTTTTATTGTGGACCCTTGTTGCAAGTCCTATTGACGTCGTATAATCCCAGGGGCATATATTCACGAATTTTATATGATTTTTTTTTTTGAAAAACTAGGGAAATTCATGCTAATGTATTTTATAATAAGCCCTAATTAAAATATGCCTTACATATTGTATGCTTTAAGTAGAGGTGGCAATGGACTCAGAACGGACGACTTGGGTCCGAGTATGGGTCCAAAAATTGGACATGATGTGTCGGGTCTGGGTCCAAATATTGGACCGAACACTATTTGAGTCCAAGCCCGGGTCCATGTGGACCCAACCTAGACCCGGTCCGAATAGTATCATTATCTATAAAATATATAATGTACAATAATCAAATAATATATAAATGAATATAACCATATATTTAGTTATAATATTTAAATAATACATATATATTCAACATAATATATATATATATATATATATAGAGAGAGAGAGAGAGAGAGAGAGAGAGAAGTAA